CCCTCACTATATAAGTGTAATGGCCCGTTGAGAATTTATTTAAAGCTACGTATACTCGCCAGATATTCTTCTGAATTCTCTGATGGGAATTATTGGAACATTAAAATGTCAATTCGTCCGAATGCGGTCGAACAAATAAAAAATGATGCCATTTGAATATGAGTACCACATCGGAGGTCACCCACTCCCGCAAGTAAACGAAATGAAGGATCTAGGTGAATGTATTACGTCGAGTCTTAAACACTCGACTGACCATCTCGAAACTGTTAAGAAAACTTTGTGCATCCTGGATGCGATTAGGAGATCCATGCTTTCTTTTGACGTGAAGCTCTTTGGTCGCGCGTTTGGGACCTTTGTGGGGCCAGTAATAGAATACGGTGTTCAGGCATGGCACCTCTGGATGGATCAGGATAATATTCTGCTGGAAAGTTCAACGAAGCGCGACCAACGTAGTCAGCAGATTAGAGTGTCTAAGTTATGAGGGTCGACCAAAAGGTCTTCAACTGTTTCCTCTCTCTTATAGGCAATACACTGGGTATATGATTATGGTCTTCAAAAGCGTCAGAGGAGCGGACTACGCTCTTATGAAGGACCATCAAAGGATGTAAAAATACGACAAATTTGAACTGTGGGCCGACATCGCTTGTTCCTGCTAAAACCGTTGGGACGTTTAAAATAGAACTTGATGAACGTTTACTTGATGGCCATTTATTTGGTGGACATCGGTTAAACTGTTTTAAGAAAAGGGTTACTTCTGAGATATGAAAATGGTGCGTATCCATCTGAGAAAAATTGCCAGTTCGGAGGAACAAGTTAATTGAAATTTTGATGTTTTGAAGAGCTTAGTTGGTCCTCCAAAGCACTAACGATACGGAAATAGTGGATCCTTTTCGAGTAGTTCTAAGATCAAGTTCTGGGATTTATACTTTTCTGCCTTCCGTGGTTGTGGGAGTCTACGATTCAGCCTTGAACCTATTCAGAGGCTGCTGCGAGAATTCGGCGCATATTTGACACTGGTGTGCGGTTTGTTTTCTGTAGGATGGCTAGGCGTCTCTTGTTTTCTAG